CCACCTGCAGGTGGTGACGAGGTGGAAAACTTATAAAAGTGTCACATTTGACGGAAGGAACTTGATTGTTAATTTGTTAGTGTGACGGACCAGAATGAAAGACCTTAAACTTATTTGATTATATTTGTTTCACCGTGCATTGCCTTTTGTCTTCTCTCAGTACTTGTGACCATTGGTAAATTTGGTTATGCATTGAATGTTACAGGAGCACCGCACGTCCCAGCTTCCCTTGGACCTGGACACTGGCGAAGATGACTCAACCTCCCTCAAGAGTGACACTGATATGAAGAGTAAGCATTTTTTCAGAGGCTCTTGAAAATTCTTTAAAATAAAATGTAAGGTTAAGATGTGTTATGTATATCCATAGTGTACACAGACAGCTTAATGCATTCAGGGAGGTGTGCTGAATTTCGGTAGTTTCAGTATAAAGTGCACTTTTCAAATGAAACAGCATTTCACATTTTCTATTAATTGTTCCATAGCAGGTGAATGGCTTGTGAATGCAGAAAACAGCTACTGCTTTTTGCATTCACAAGCCATTCACCTGCTCTGAAGATGGAGGCGATACGTTCCTCCGAAACGTCAGTTAACACCACATATACACGGTGCCAAATCCCAGAAGACTGCTTTCTTNAATTGGATTTTAATTTACAGTCAAAATGTTCATTAAATACATTATCCCAAGAGAACATGCTACATGAAGGTGTAATCTTCTCACTTCACAGTGCCTGAGGTGGCAGCTCCGTCCGAGATAAAGGATGAGACTGAGGGTCTGAAGAGGGAAGCTGAGAAAGAGGTTGATGTCAGTGAGAGAAAGAAGAGAAAGTGGGAAGAAGAAAAAGATTCTAATACTAGTGACAACAACAAAATTGCAGTAAGGATAATGCTTTTGTATTTGTAGGTTTAATGTTACCAGCTGACTAAGACTGTGATAGTAGAACCTAGAGTAGTTACTATAGGATTCTGACGATGGTGTATAACACACTGATATATTGGGTTTCTGGACTTTATCCATCGTCCTAGTTTTTAAGATAACAAAAACACGACGTTTCGGAAACTGGATCTGTTTCCGTCCTCAGGTGAAGGAAAAGGGGGAGGACCTGAGGACGGAAACAGATCCCGTTTCCGAAACGTCGTGTTTTTGTTATCTTAAAAACTAGGACGATGGATAAAGTCCAGAAACCCAATATATCAGTAGAACCTAGAGGTTTAGCAACACAACTAAAACTTGCTTATAGACAAATCTGTTTCACCTGCTCACATATATGTTTTCATATAGTCTTGGTATAATGATGGGCTACAAGCTGGATAACCAGGGTTTGATTCCCAGCAAGGGCAAGAGATTATTCTGTTCTCCTTATTGCCTAGACTGGTTCTGGGTCCCACCCAGCCTCCTATCCAATGGTTATCAGGGGCTCTTTCCTCAGGGTAATGTGTGAAGTTGACTGCTCACCTCCATTTAGTGCCAAGGTCAAGAATGGTGTGCTCTACGTCAGCTCCCTCATATGTCTTCATGGCGTTGGGTATAATTAATTAAGCACAGGGACAATTTTACCTTCTACCTCTTAAGATCTCATTTAGGAAGAAGAGTGAAGAGATGTCAAGTAAAATAACAGGCCACATGGTCTAATAACATGCCAAGATAATGATGGTAATGATCATCTATTTATATATAATAATCCCATTTCTTTCTCTGTGCTTCAAGTGATCACTTTCAAAGAGATTTCACCACCAAAATTCTATATTTCTTGTCTTTGCCCTCTTAGTTGTATGACTGGCTCACTGCAATCTTAACTTTAATGAGCTGTTTAAATTATGAATTCCTCATTATATGATATCTTCCAGTCAGCATATATTCATGCCTGTTGTTTCAATATAGTTTCCTCGGTGCGTTATTGCCTGATGCTGAATTTTATATTCATTCTCAAATTAAGGGACCCTCTTTTGCAATTATATATATGTGACTGGTAAATTTATTCTTTTATTTATTTTACAGTGTTTTATGTTTTGTGTTTGATAAGTAGCTCAGTCACCAGCTTAAGTAAAACAAATACTTTATATCTGTTGTTGTTTCAGAACTAAATGGTTAGAGATCGCATTGTTTCCTTTTTGTCATTGACTTTAGGCAGAAATGCTTGGCATGTGCTGTTCTGATACTTGTACATGATCAAAAAATGAACTGACCTCAAATTGTAAGATTTGAGACTTTCACGGCGGTGACTATGAAGAAAGCAGTCTTCTGGGATTTGGCACCGTGTATATGTGGTGTTAACCGACGTTTCGGAGGACAGACTCTGCTTGACCGTGTCTCACGGTGTTGTCGCTTGCAGATTTACTTATACTTCTTCAACCCTGAAGATGGGGGCGATACGTTCCTCCGAAACGTCGGTTAACACCACATATACACGGTGCCAAATCCCAGAAGACTGCTTTCTTCTGACCTCAAATTGTTACATAGACACAGTAGGAGATGTTATTCCTAGAATCATATTTGGCACAACTTTATATCTTCAAGGTTGCATTCCCTCAACATTTTAGCCAACGAAAAATGTTTGTCATGTAACATCATGTGAACTTCTCTTCAGTCCAGTAATTTATTTTTTATTGTGTTATTGTGTTGGAAAGTTTCTGTGATTGTGCTGTATGGTATTTAAGTTTTAAAAGCATTCAGCCCCAATTACTGCAGTTAAATTGAGGTGCATAGTCTTGAATTCAAAGCCTGAAGTAGGACACCTGTATGAAGTGCCAGTAAATGGCTTGTCAGAAAGCAAATTTGGAAGATGTGAATTGACTTCTACATTGTTCATCATTTCGAAGGACAGATATTGCATTTGCCCTAATATGAGCCACGCTCAACTTTTATGTTGCACCTGCAGAAATTATATGATCCTGAAGTGGAGAAAAGAATTGTACACTAACATCATTATGCACAACAGTAAGTACAGCTCAGAGTAATCATGTTTCACATTTCTTCATGTAATTATGTACATTACTCAAAATACATAAATTTAATTTTTGGGATTGACAAACCCTAGTATCATCAAGAAGTTAGATATGGTGAATTTCCTTTAGAACTTCACTAATTGGTGATAATTCGAATCTACATATTGTTTAATCAAAGCTAAAGTGGCATCCCTAGCCATTACAATGAACTGTGTACCTATACCAGATCAAGACAGTCCATTGATGTTTCTTTTTCTTTAAGAACTGCTTATAAGATACACCCTGATTGTAATGGTGTCAGTATTGTGAAAAATTGTGGCTTATATTTGGGCACATATGGTATGGTCAGCTGTTGTGTGTGATGAAAGACCAGTGAATAGAAATAATGGTAGTTGTGGTGCAAAATTTTGTTTAGAAATATGAAGATTGTGTTTTTCTTGCTGCTAGGTAACAAAGAAACTGTCTGAGGGTGCTGAGAAGCGATCTTCACGTGAGAAAGGTCCTGCTCCTCCTCCGCCCATAATTGTTGCCAAAATTGAGGAACCAGGGACATTGGTGCCAGATGATTCTGGCTCCTCATCTTCCCCAGACAGGACATTGGTGACTGAATCGTCAGAATCTCTCTTCAACCCTGAACTGTCCTCTGTCCAACCTGAATCAGGCAAGCAGCCCTCCAATCAGCAGGAATTTTCATTACCAGTGTTGCCTATAAATGGTACCGCTCCAGCAACTTCTGTAATCCGTCCCAGCCTTGGCAGGCATTCCTCTTGGGAAGAAGGAGGTGACAAAGAAAGTAAAGTTGAACTATCAGCCACAAAGACATATGATAGGAAAGATAACTCAGTGACACCACTGGACAAGCCAAACATAGCACTAGTTACAACACCACCAGATGATAAACCAGTTGAAGTGGCAAGCAGTGCATCTGGAGACATTACAATATTTTCAGGTCAATATTATATTTATTTTGCATATTTATTAAATTTTGCTGACCATACAGATAAATGTTTAAAGTGGATTTTCCTGTACTCTTGGGTTAGCAAAGTAGTAATATGTCCAATTCATATTTTGGAGGTGCTTAATCTCAGTCCTGGCTAGGGGCCAGCTGTCCTGACAAGGGTTTTGTGGTTTTCCTGTATCCCTTCCAAACATACTGGAACAGTATTTTTCAAACCAAGCTGGTTGGTATAGTGGTAACACTCTGGACTTGTATTCAGGATATACTCATTTCATATCTCGGCTGGCACACTGGCTGTTTCAGCTGAGATTTTTCATTGTTTTCCTTGGTCCCTTCAAGCAAATGTCAGGAGAGTACCGTGATTAGTCCCTGACTTCTTCCTTTCAAATCCTTTCCAATTCATCATCAGTCACTCAGCCTACAGTTGAGCCCTGTACAATGCAAATACCAACAGCCTAGTAAAATAAACCAACAAAAATGGAAGAAATTCCATCAAATAAACCACAGCTGTTTTCTTCCAGATCCATTCTGATTGAGCTATTTACAATCCTACTGTCTATTACTCAGTACTACATGATCTCAGCTATTGATAGTGTCATAATAACTAACAGACTGCATTATTCGGTGCCAGTAAACATATTAGCAAAAGTTGAACTTGAGGAGTTTAGGTATAACTCCCAAACTCCACCTTTTTAGTCCAGACTTCAGTTTGTCAAATCTTGTGTTGTTAATAGCACATTTAAGTAATTTTAATTCATAATCCAGAAGGAAATGCAATTGGGCACATGGGATAGCATGTTGGACTTTTATGGTTGTACATTCATCTCCTATTCAGTTTTTTTTTATTGTTTGTAATTGTAAATGTGTTACAAATTATCATTTTCATCTTTTTTTTTTCTTCTTCATTTTTAGTAGACCTCATCATTTAAGAACTTTTTGTATCTACAGTTACAGTTGACCTATTGTTATTCACCATTTCAATAGGTGTAATTGCTGACTTAAACTGTATTTGATACAGAATTTGTTAGGTATGTATATGATCTATCCCCATAACAGCTTTCAGTTCTTTGCACCACTGGTTCATTAGCTACTCCCATGAAACCAAAAAGTGGATACAGATTTCGTATAGCACCATGTTGTTATTTTACTTAAAAAAAATATGTTTGTAGAACTTGTATATTTGTAGCCTATTTTTCTTACTTAAAAAGAAATAAAAGTAGCCTTATGAGATCACCATGCTTTCTGCCTTTGTATCCCCCCCCCCTACCAACTTTTGAATGACTGAACCAGTCTTTCTGAAACTTGGTAGGTATGCCATGGCAGATGAGCCCATCTCAGTGGCGTACTTGATAAATCCCTTCCATCAGCCTCTGTATCTGTATCCTCCTATAGTTGCTGGGCATTGGCTCTGTAGACACATTCCCAGGGCAATGAATACTACAATAGAAAAATTGTTGGAGACATTGTTTTCCATATAGTCCATGTCATATCAAAAGAGAGTCTTTTGCTCTGTTTATGTATCCCCCTATCATTGCTGGTCATTGTCTCGGTAAACACGTTCCTGCAGCAACAAAGAATTGTTGGTGGTATAATTTTGTATGTGATCCATGTCATATCAAAGGAAAGAGGTGATTAGTTCTTACCAGAACTTCTTATTTGAAAACCTGTTACCATACATAATTTCATGACATCAGATTAAGTGGTGCTAATGTTGCTTCCAGAATTCATGCCTCTTCCATGTTGTTATTGGTTTTAGGAAATTAAAAAGTACGAGAGTTGTATGGTCTCATGTGCAGTGATCTCTTACGCATATTTTCTTTCCTTAAGAAAGGAAATTACGTTAACAAGATGTACAAGTATGTTTGGACAAAAATAGAAACCATTTGAAATGCACCTTTTTAACTATAAGTGGCATACAGATTTGTAGTTCATAATTCTCTTGAAAGATTTTTACATCACTGTGTTTGATTTTGCAGTAAATTTTCACACTGAATGTGGACATAGTATGAGTACAAAGTAGTTAGTTATTGCATTGATTTTGCAGTAAATAACTTTCACATTGAATGTTGAAATATTAGGAGCACAAAAGTAAAGTTATTTATTACAGAAATAATGAGCCAGCCGGGAAGCTCAGGACTGGATACATGCCAGACTACAAAATTTTCCAGTATATGGGTATTGGAACATGTGTAATTCATTGTACATGTGTCTTGTTACATTTTGGACATCATTATGGAATATTCATCCACCAAGCATCCCCAGTTCCTCACCAGTCACCTCTACCCAAAACCAGTTTAATTATTAGTTTATGATTTATCGCATATATCATACTATTTTTCCCTGTCGATTTGGTGATAAAAAGGAGCCAGGATAGCTCATTTTATATAGTGACAGGGCTACAAGCTGGGCAGCCAAGGTTTTGGGGTCAATTTCCCAGCAGGGACAGGAGATTTTCTCTTCTCCACGACATCCAGACCATCTATGTGGTCCACCCACCATCCCGTCTAATTGGTATGTGGGGGTGGGAGCTCTTTTCCTGGGGGTAAAACAGGCAGGGAATGAAGTGGATCGCACGCTTCCATCTAGTGCGAAGGCTAAGAATACAAGGAGCTGTAACTTGACTCCCCCTTCATCTTTATGGCATGATGCTAAATTAATTAAGTGTAGGGATAACTTTACCTGTAGTAACATATTATTTTGTTGTTTGTAGGTACAGTAGGTTCACCACTGACTGATTCAGCATTTGTGGAACCTAAGTTAAACAAGTCCACAGTAACTATCACAACTGATTTGCGTGAAGATATGAACTCATCTGCTTTGTCTGGTAATGTAACACAAGTGACAGTGGTGACAACACATCCCCCTGTTCTTTTACCCCCAGTGGACAGCTCTATCTCACTAAAGCCCCACTCTGAGACTTCCACAACTTCCCCCACAGTGACTGTGACATCTGCTGGGGACAAGGGTAGTGAAGTGGTTATTGTGGCCAATGAAACAAATAAAACGCAGATCAATGAATCATCAACAGATGATGACCAGTACCAGTCACTGGATTCTCTCGAGTATAGTTCAGAGACTCAAGATCGGCCAATAAATATTGTTAAGGGGAAGAAACTGGATGAGAGTGAGGTCCTTATTGTCAGTCCGAGTTTTGTCGACATGGATGATGGAGATGGGTATGTATAATGTCACATGTATATGTAACCACTTACTGCTGACACCTTCTGTCACTTTCTAATCTTCACTTCATTTTTTATCGTTTTCAATCTCCAGGCTTCTTGCTTCCATTAACTAGCTTTGTGCTGTGTTCCTCGACCAAGCATGTTTCATATAACGGTTATATACAGTTTTGTTTTTAGTCCATTGAGTGCTTAAGTAAAAATGTGTAACTGCTTCCACTTTCTGCCTTCATGACACTGCATATGCATGGGGGAGACTTTACCTTTACTAGTGTATCATTCTTATCACATAATGTTTCCACCTTAGTTTTGTAAGAAGCCATTGAAAAATGAATGACTAATTTAGTAAGTAAAGTGGTTGACTATGGAGAGAATGTCTGGGTTCAAGTGTTGTCAAATTCTTTGGGAATCTTTCTCATTGACACTTTCTTTAAATATTCTGTGACCTGTATAGTCTCCTATTCACGTAATAGGTGTGCTGAACAGGTTGGCATGGTGGGAACATCTGGCTTGTGTAATGAATGTTCTAAGGTCAAATCCCAGCTGTGAGTCAGTCATCAGTATTTTCCTCTCCCCCCCATGTCCACCTTGTATTTGTGCCCTGTGGTCTTGAAATTCCAGCTGCTGACCATCTGTCTTTATACATTTTTGTAGTTTTCCTTTGTGCCTTCATGTAGATGTTTAAATAATTCCTTATGTCATTCCATGGCCAATTCCTGTTTTGTCTTGTGTGACATATTATGTCAGCAGTTGAAAAACTGCAAAGTTCTGCTCACCAAACTAAATATTCATTTGTCGCCTATTCACATATCACAGCAGACACTGTTCTTAAGTTCTGACCTCTTGACAGCTAGGAAAATAAAGAATTTTATACACTCTTGATGGAATGTCTGTGAAGTGTGCTCTTCAACATTCAAACATTCAACAACCCAATCTTAAAGTCACATGCATTTTTAAATTTACTGTAATCTGCTGATTTATATTGTCAAATGTATGAGTGACTTTCGGTGGGGTTTCGGATTGGTAGCTTCATTTATTAACCACTTTAACATGCAACGTGAAATTACACTTAATTATGGCACCATCACTGAACTCCACACTTTACAATTCACTATGACAAACACTAGTGTTCTCAGTCTGTTTCAGTCTCCACTGGGAATTTCCTGGTAATGGCCTTAGCAATGGCTATTCCTCTGCTTCTGTGCTTAAGTCCTCTCTGATTGGCAGCTCCCCTCCAACTGCACTCAGTCTTCACTTGGTCCTGCACAAACTACCATAGAAAATACTGTCGTGTGTTGATTTGTTGCTGTGAGCACGTTGCTCAAATCATTTTTGTGGGAATGTATTTTCTTTTGCAAAGAGTATTACCCAATAACTGCTCTGGTATATTTGTGTATCATGCATTCATTGCCTGGTTCAGTCTTATATTTTGAAAAAGAGAAAATCAAGAACAGTTTTAAGTAATATAAATTAATATTTTAAATTTATGCTTGTCATCTCAAATAGTATAATAGTGAAGTGATAGGGGGTGACTACACTTTTAAGTCCTGGAAACGGAAACAGGATAGTAAAATAGCTGAGTAGTGTGATTCATCTAGTGAGTACTGGGAAGTCTCCACCAGGTAATTCATCACTCATCTCTATTTAGTGGTGATAAGCAGTTACTTTAACTTGTCAAGCATGAAAGTGGACTGAAACTATGGTAATTGTGTTGTAATAGCCTGGGACTAACGCATCTGGACCCAGCACTGGAGGATTCTACAGCAGACTATGATGAAGCTGTAGATTTTGAGCAGTTGCAGGACACAAGTCACGTTTCTGTTGTGACAGTTGGAGAAGAGAAGGAACATGTAAAAGATTCTGCTTCTGTGGATGGTACTGACACTAAAACACCTGGTTCACATGGTGATGGGCGGAGCAGCAAGAGTGATTCTGGTAAGCATCCTAAAACTTGTTCAATACTAGTTATTAATTCTTTTCTAATAAGAACTTCATGCTGTCATAAGAAACATCTGTTATATTCCTGTAGTATACAAACTGTCCAAAAAGAAACATTTTCTTGAAACATATATGGTATCTAGAATTTATTTAGGCTTCCTAGAACAAGTAGCTAATAACATGGAATTAATTTTATGGCAACAGTGATCAATGCGAAGAAGTCCAGAAAATCTTTGAACTTAAAGCAAAAATTTCTTATGCTCAGGTGAAGTGGTAGCTAAACTAGAGGAAGTTAAAGAATGCAGGAAAACTATTTGTGTTTCACAAAGCACTTTGTCACTGTTTCCCAGGTACTGAGGATGACTCTGTTCGAACATCAATCCTAGTAGAAGGCATGGCACTTGGTGCAACGGATGTTGACCGGTTCACTGAAATCAGGAGGCTGAATGGGGAAGTGACTGAGCCATTACGGCAGGACAGTGAGGAGGTGTTGATTGTTGTAAATAACTCCACCAATGTACAAAGAAGGGTAAGCATTACCCATTTGATGGACAGATATGTGCAGCTGCTTCACATACCACTGATTTGGAGACAGTGACATAAGTTGAAGCTTGATCATATTGAACTAAACATAGTTCATATCAGTTTATTCATTCAGCCTTCCTTGCCTTATCATCATCAAATGCACTTCCAGTTCAGGTTCTTATAACACTCTTAACTTCTGAATGTGTGAAAGAAGCAGAATTGGCTACATCATATTCCTGTTGGTGCAAGCAATTTGTGTAGGTTTTCTGAAATGAGACATTTGTCATAGATGGTCTGTGCTCTTAATACCATACATACATACAGTTTCTCTCTTGTATCCAATCTCGAGTCTTTGTTGTTGTTTCCCCCCCCCCATATGATTTGCAAGATATAGCTGTTGTGATATCTCCCTTTTTTCTTTCAAGGGTAAGGAGAAAATAGATCACACTCCAGTCCCCATGAAGGAGAAATGCTCGTCACCTGAATACTATGAGAGCTCAACATCTCATTCTGAGAGTGGGTCCACAAGAAGTAGTGGTCAGAGAACTCCACCTTCATCACTAAGCAAAGCTATTGATAGGTAACTTTTAATTATGAAGATTACTGTTAATTTCTGTATTCATAAAGTGGTTATAGCTACATTGTTATGTTCATGTTTTATGGATTGTATATATGTTTCATAAGTATAATGGAACAAATTTTAAGAAACAGTAAACTAAGATCAGAGTTTAACAAATGTGAGCTATTGTTTGTGGGCTTGTGTCTTATTTTTTTTTGTAAATTGTGTTAAATTATGTAGTGTGTGTTTAAATAAATTAATGTATATATAAAAGGTATAGGAGATCTTCTGTCAATAAAAGAAAGAAACCAGCTTACAGTATAATATTAGGATATCATATAACTCCCTAACAAGTAAGTCCTCATTAATAAAATTGCATAATACTAAATCACATACTTTGAAGCTTGAGCACTTTGAATTAATGAGGTTTTACTCTGTGTCTTATGGTCAGTATGATGGAACCACTAAATTGTCTTAACTTGAAGTAACTTCTTATATGAGAATGTCTTAGGCAAGTTTTAATGTAGTACACTTTGAATTAATATTGATGTTGGTGCTTTTTGTACAATATTTTTCTGTGTTTATTTTTGAGGATTCTTCTCAGCAAAACTTTTTATAATGGTGTATCACCATTTCCTCATTTGTCAACTTCAGGTAAGGTGTGCTAGAATATAATGTAACAATTTGTACAACACAGGAAGTGAACAAGAGAACCTATACTACCCCTTAGTTGCATATGTACCAATATGGTGAAAATGTACAGTGAACATATGCTGTGTGTCTAGATCTGATGCTGAGAGTGTGTCAACCACCATCAGTCAGGACAGCCGAGGAAGTAATAAGGAGAACAGGCAAGGTCGAGAATCTCGAAACTCACGGGATTTAGATGAAGAAGTTGTGTTGCGACGCAAACCAGAATATAATAGGGTATTTATCAATCACAGTTGTGCGAAATGTACCACTTAAGTAAAAAGATGAAGTTTGAATTTAACTTCAGAATTTTAATCTAAAACTACTACATCACTTTGTTTTAAAATACTTCCTTCAGCTTCTGTCAGTCGTATTGCTGGACGCACTCCAGCATATCTTCTTTTTAAGTCCATTGAATTACCAACCTGTTTCATTTAGTTTGGCTGTTGGAGTGTCTTCCTTTTTTCTTGTTCATTTTACATTTTAACACAGACATGGTTCACATTTCTGATGTCGTACAGTGTTTCGCATTTGTTCTTGTGCTGTATCTCACCATCATCAGTACAGAAGAATTCAGGTAATGTGCAAAATATTTCATGATGCAGTCAGTCTAGTCTCCGTGTGAGAATATTCAAAAGGAACAGTGATGCCACATGAGCTCAACTGTCACTTAGAAAGGGAGCCTGTAGTAGAGGGAAGTGCCACTTGTGTGATGGCTAAAAGCTGAATTTTTCTGTTCAAGAAGATTCCTGTAAATGGGCCATGTTAGCTATGTAACTTGAAATATCAAACAATTTTTTTTTTCTGAGTATGACATAATATCTGCATACTTTGTTGCATGGTCTATACTAGACCACGCAGCAAAGCTTACCACAACTAGACAACACAACAGCAGTAACAATCAACATCCTAGTAATAAGAAAGAAGATAAATTCATGCTCAAGAAACTGTTAACACAAATGAATCTAGCCAGTAATAAAAGAATCAGACAAAAAGATGTGTGGTCTACTACAGCAACAGACACTAAGCTGAATACAGCATATGGCACATTTAAATTAATTTTTAATTTTCAGCTTTTAGTTCTTATATATATCTTGTATTTAAATCATGATCTAGCAGTTAGAATATAACTGTACATAGTAATTTTAAGCATACACGTATGTATTTAATAATGAATGTATGTTTTACAATTCAATAGTGAAAATGTGTAAATCACAACTCCTGAGGATGACCCTATAAGGGTCGAAACACGTAGTGGAACATAAGTTAATAAATTATAGTTGTGTTGACAGTGGAATTTGTAATATTAGTTATACTCATGCAACAGGGTACAAACATTAAAAATAGCCATATTGTAACTTGCGGGTAAATGGTATTAGTGTTAAAGAATAACATTCAGCCAGATAGCCTGTGTGAATAGACCATTGCAATAATGCAACATGTGGCTGGTGAAGGTTGAAGTTTCAGTATATCAAGATGTGTTCAAAGATAAGTCGAAAATGCTTTCACCTTTATCTACAGGACAGGCGTGATGAGGTAATTTCCATGAATATGCAGCCAGTTCTGAGTGTGGACCTAACTAGCACTGAATATGCTGAATATTTCATATGAGATGGTAGCATGAGATCAGTTTTTATGTGTTTGCAGGAAGTAAATCGCAGTGGCCGTACTAAAGAAGATATTCAGATGATGAACCTTAAGAAGAAAACTCGCAAAAGAACCCGCAAGTTTGAAATTGATGGTGTTGTAGTAACAACCACCACTAGCAAAGTTATTTATGGTGATGAAGAAAATGGAAAGGTGTATGATGACCACATATTCAGGTATAATCTCCACTTGAGTAATTGTATCTCCCTCCCCTTCTCCTGTTGCTGCCACTTTGGAGCACGGCGTCTATGGAATGCTATGTTTCACTTTAGTTTCTTAATCTGCTGCCTTAGTCTTAAGGGTAGAAAACCTCAGCTGTCATGTAGCGCAAAATTATTTGAACTTGTGAGACTGAGCTACTCTGTCCTTCATTGCTGTGATTGCTGGTATTAGCAAATCACTGACAAGTTCCAAGAGCTGTATAGAAGAACTGAAGCTAGTCTACAACACTGTGGCAATATGAATATAAATTTTACTGAAGTTTAAAAGTGTTCATGCTGCATTATAATAGGCTGTCATATGTGGACAATAGAACTCAGCAAAGAATGTGGTGCGATTATGAAATTTTTACCATCATTTCACATCTTGTGCAGGAAGCAAGAACTCAGGGAATTGAAGATGCTGCAGAAACAAGAACAGAAACAGTTTCAAGATCTGTCATTCAAAGCACAGTTTGCGAAAGACCAGCAGGTATAATAATTTATTTTATATTCCAGTCTGCCAGGCATGACTGTAATTCCTGTATAATTTAAAAAAATGCTAGGGCAGAGCATGACAAGTGGATGTGTACTGGTCCCCTCCACCCACCAGTAAAACTGTACTACAGTGTCATTTTCATTGGTAAAGGGAAATTTAATAAAAATCCACCTGAGGGCTGTTACTGGAAAACAAGATTCAAGGAAACTTGCTCATTACTTGGTTGTGGTGGCACCACTCTACACCTGAGACAAAATCCATCATGCAATGGAAACATCCTAGGTAGTTCTTAGGCATGTCTGTGAAGCAAATTATGAAGGGATGCTGATCTGCAGTTGAATATACCTACAGACTACAAAATTCTACAACAGAGTTGGCCAGAGGTTGTTTACTCAGCTTATGGTGACCTTGTAATACTGCCACATAGATCTCCAGTAATTTCCCTCAGGTTCTGTTGAATATAATTTGACATATTTCAGACTGTAAAGATCCAGTACAAGGAAACACTGGCTGTTGCAGTATTTCCAGGGGAAAATTTTTGCATTAAAATCCCTGTTTTAGGTTAGTAGGACTATGGATTTGTGTCCTGGGAGAAAACATAAAAAGAGAAACTCCAAAATTGAGCAGTAATGAGGGAAAGTTTTAAATAGAAGAACTTCAGATGAGAATTCCACTGTATTAGGAACTGTTATGCAGTAGACTCTCAGTTATCTATGTATGGATTAACCACTGGCCTTTTAGAAACACCTTGGATGTCAATTATAGCTTACCACATAATTTATGTGTTGCATGTTACATCTGTGTCAGTAACACATATCAGTGATACTTTACAGTAATTTGCAGTAGGTGTACAGCTTACCATGTTGCAACTTTCTTTTTTATTATTATTTTATTGTTTTACTTATGGCCTTCCACAGAACAAGGGTTGCTGCTTGGTGACCAGTAGCATAACCATTATGTAATAATTAAGCAGTTTTTGAGGGTGAATATAGCACTGTTAGTGCATGTTTCTAGGCATTTGGAATGTCCATTGTTTTTAATTTTCCCCAGTTACTTCTCTGCTCCATTAATGTGGAAGGTGAGGAGTCAAAGGTCTTTTCAGCTTTATGTATATCTTTCCATGTTTCATTAAATGTTTTAGTAGTTGAAATTGATGGAGAAATCTCTAAGGTGTTTTTATTACTTGTTTTAAATTTAATATTGTAATCAGCAAGCTCTACACCAGTTTGCAGCACTTCCTTTAAAAACACTGATTTTTACCAGCACTGTGCAACTTTTTAGGAACATAGACATTTTCAGCTCATAATGAATCTTTCTCTCATGATCTATTCAGTTTTACTTAATTATTTTGTATCTCTTTATTGTAATATTAATATATGCAATTCATAACTACATTTCACTTCCTCTCCTAGCATCATCATTTCCATTTTATATTGCTTGATGAATGAAAGGCTTCCAATCCTTCCCTTTCAGTCTCCTGCCAGCTGTGGCAGGTCCTGCAAGTTAGTAGATTTAAGAATGCTTTCCAGTGATGGAAATACTTGAAAAGAAGGGTGGATATACATGTTATATATTCTTATCATATGTAGGGAATGATATGCTGATAACGTTTATGGTAGTTAATGGGAAGAACAAGTAATTTCTGGCAGTACATTTCCTTATGAGAACCTGTTGTTGCAGGACAAGCGGTTTGAGCAAGAGAAAATGACTTTGTTACGAACTTATGAATCAGATCTTGATACGTTAGTTCGGCAGCAAAGGCAGCAAGTTGAGAAGGCAGAGATGCAGCAGGAGGCAGACTTACGTGTGTCTTCAAAGAAGATACGTGCAGAGCAGGAAAGGGAGCTGAAACAGTTCCGAGATGGTCTTAAGCAGGAACTACGCTTGCTGAAACAAGAAGTTGATCTCATGCCAAAGGAAAAGCGCAAGAACATTTTCAGGGTTAGAAAGGAGAAATTGGAGGCTGATCATGAAGAAAGAGTAAGTACTTTCAGTTTTGTTCTTTAATGCTTAATCATTTTGATGATATATATTAATTAGGTAAAACCATAGGCACTATGAAGACTGTTAGTGCAGCATAATTGTTACAGCTGTGATTGCTGACTGTGAAAAAAAAAGCCTATCCGTTCTTCATACCATCTCTTTTTGGTCAATCCTTTTTTCTTCATTCCATAGGTACCAAGTTCGTTAATGCTGTCAGTAATGGTTTATGTGTTGTTTGTTCCACATGACAATACAACTGTAATCATTTATTTTCTGTAGTGTTTGTATTACCTGGCTTATCCTCTACTCTCATAATTTACTTATTTTTATATTCTTAACTTTGTCCGTCCTAGACACCATCTTATCTCATCATAAAAATGTATTTTAGTAGCCACAGTTTATTCATCTCTTTTGTTGGTATATAACACCTCTGATTCATATTGTGACATGATCGAATAGCTTAACAAGGGCCATCGTTCATTGCTAGGTAGTGACATGGTAAACATGATGACAACATTAAACAAGTAGCCATTGCTACACAACAACCTGTAAATAATGACTGACAGTGTAAGTCTGCTTTTACCGTTCTCACGGTCTTGTCGCTTGCAGATTTCTTATACTTTTTCTTCTACCCTGAAGATGGAGGCGATACGTTCCTCCGAAACGTCGGTTAACACCACATATACACGGTGCCAAATCCCAGAAGACTGCTTTCTTCAATGACTGACAGTGTTTTCTATGTGATCTGCTTCATTTTCTGTTTGGCCATGCCAAGGCTATCAAACCAGACCAGACAAGCAGTTGAGAGCCGGTGAGTCAGCTCTCATGGCTGCGAGTTGCTGGCCAAGATGGATTCCAGGCTAGAAGAAATGAAAGTCCATCAAGATTAGATGGAGGCCATTCAAGAGAAGATAGTGGATAACCAACAAAGACAGGGCAGCAGAATGAAGGCCTGTTTAGGAAGGACAGAGGCAATGATAAAGATCAGGATGACGTGAAGAGTAGAAAAATCTTACCTCTCCTGGGGCTCAGTTGACACCTTGGCTGTACAGCCCATGCCCAGTCACTATGCTGACTGCACTATCCTGGCTCTGCCTTAAATCAGGGAAAATCTTAAATAGGGGTAATGTAGAATTCCCCGTCTTCTGGGATGTGGTGCCGTGTATAAATTGTGTTAACCGACGTTTCAGAGGAACATATCGCCTCCATCTTCAGGGTAGAAGACAAGAAGAAATCTGCAAGCGAACCAGCAGAGCAGGTGCAGCAGACTCCACCGAAACGTCAGTTAGCACAATTTCTACACTGAACCACATCCCAGAAGACTGCTTCCTTCATATTCACCACCATGAAAAGCTCAAATCTTACAAAGGAAAACCTTGTCTTCCATTTGGTAAATATGATTGGGGATTTTGGCCAGGACTGCAGAAAATTAACACAAATTGGAGGAAACCCTTAGCTTGAGAAAACTTGAATCTGGAGTCTGTTGTAGATTTATTTTCTCATTTTTCTTATTTGTTTATTCCACCATATCAGATTCAAAGCATTTTTTGCTTTATGGATCTTAGTAATTCTATGGTTTATTTCCATATTCTGGTTACCACTTTTATCAGTTCCTGTAGCTAAATATGTGATGATTATGTCATTAGATAATGTATAATTTTAATAGGTGAAAGATCTGTTAAATAAGTTAAAAGTAAATAAAATGAAAGAACCATCTCCTATATTAAAGGTCAGTCCTAATGTCAGGTCGATACAACTTTTTGTCTGTGATGTGCAACATCAGTTGAAACCAGGAATGGCAGACATGGAACTGCATAATTCCATGTATCTGCAGAAAATGCTTTGGAGTGGAATCATGTCTGTAACAAAAAAGAAATTATTTATGCAGTGAATAGTAGGACGAATCTTACTTCAGCAGTTGATAGTTGTTCTGCTGCTCAAGAAATTTCATGTTATGGATCTCAAAACAGTTGTTGAAAGTAATTATATGTCTTCCCACTGTCTCACCTTTGGGTAATAAGTATCACAGAAGTAATAGTGCAAATTGATTGTTGTTAAATTCAGGAAAAACTATTTCTGGAGAAGCTTAATGAGAACCATGAATCTTCTCTGCGACGACTGAGTGACACCCACAGAGAGAAAATAGCTCTTATGGAACGGCAGTTCCTGCAACAGAAACAACAGGTTGGATGTATAAAATTTTCTCTTCTATTCATTTTATTCCTTTTTAGTATTACACCTTATTTGTAGGCACATCAAAATGTACACAGGATATGTGCTATCCATCACTTGTATTTCTTGTACCTTTCTCTGTTTCTGATGAATAAACTCCTTTGACAAATGTAAGTGGATTCACATAGATTTTATGGTATGTTAGATGTTGAATCTTTTATCATTGTCTTATCATTTGTAAATGTTATGTTACAGAAGTGTTGATGTTAAATTCAGGAAATGGTGTTTCTGGAAGAGCATATTCAATATCAGGTTCATTTTGGACATTTAAGATTATTATAACAGTGTTTCTAGAATTTTTCCAATTAGTTATCAGTATATTTAACCTTCTGTAACATGATTGACTTGTAATTTTAACACAGCTAGGATTATGATAAAATAAGTAAGGATTTTTATGATAAATGTGAAATTGTAGTGTTATTCTTAATATGATATGTATGCTGAAGTTAGAAGATTTTATGAAATAGTTGGTTCTCTGAACGCAAACATGCAAGTAGATCTTCAAACAAGGATATATGTCAGAATATCTGAGCCATTATTTTAGAAAAGTGAGAAATTTTCTCGATGAAGTTGGTAGTGGTCAGACAAAACATATTGTATTTTATGGAATATTATAAAGCCACTTTACTAATACAGCAGTATGAGTTATATAAAAGATTTTTAAGACTTCATAAGCCATGTAATTAGTGGTATACAGAGTTCTTACCTCCCACTACAGCCCATGCAGTGATCATGAGAAGTGTTAATGATTAGAAAACAAATTTGATACGAATAAATTTGCAAAATAATATTTAGGTTCATACATAAAATTTGTGCCTCATTTCTAGAGTGTTATGTAAGAATTTAGTAACATCATTAGCAAAATGAATTTGATTTCCATTGAAGTGGACTGTCATCTTGAACATTAATTTTGTGATGTTTATTCTTTGTTTTTAATGCAGTTAATGCGCGCAAGAGAAGCAGCCCTGTGGGAGTTGGAAGAAAGACAAATACATGAGAAGCAACAGCTTGCCAAGAGACAGCTGAAGGATATCTTTTTCCTACAGAGGCACCAGGTAAAGCTATAAACTGCATAAGTGTGCCCCCCCCCCCACACACACATGCACGCACACGCACAGAATTTGAATACATTTTAATATATTATTATTCTCTTTGGAACCTATCAACCCTTAGCCCTCTATCTGATTGTAGTGGTGATGACAGGAATGTAAGCATTTGCGCATACAAAGTACATTTCTTAGACATGGTATTGGAATAGCTCCGTGCAAAGATGTTACAAGCCCTCGTTACTTCCGTTTTCTCTTAGATAGGACAGGACTTAATTTAAGGTTCTCAAATGGTGTGTTTCATTTGAACTTCAAGAAAACATGCAACTCTTGTTCAGGTAATTTTTGTAGAATGTAAAATAACATGGAGACATTGAAAAAATTTTTGGACTGTGGGATTGACGTTGATAACTACAGTATGGGCATAGTTCCATGGTCTCTTGCATCGGAGTGTAGCTCAGTCCACTGCAAAATGACATTGGCCACCAGTAACATCAGCATTTTCTGCCTCAAAACAGCAGTAGGTGACAGCCACATGTTGCCATTTTTTTGCTTTATTTGTGAGCACTGCTGTACTGTGACAGTGGTCCTGGCAGCATTTGGTGTTCAAATGAAGGTCTGGCATCAATACTTCACTGAGGTTTCTTATAGTACTTCACACATGGGCAGGGCCATAGCTTATTACATTATAGACTCTAATGGACCATTGAACATAAACATGTGAAATTTTGTACAGAACTACATCATAAACGTATTTCTACACTATATATGCATGTGAAATATTTTATGTGAGTCAACAAATTCAAAACAGCCGATGGTGCAAAACTTTTAGGTTATATATGTCAAGTTTAGCATAGACTAATAAGTTTGCTGTAGTGACTGAAAATTACTTCAAAAGTGTTTTTTGTACTAGACACCTCTTTCCAGTTTAACTACCAAATGAGTGCTTGAAAGTGGCCATGTTCACCCTCATAGTATCTTGGTTGGGTCATCTTTCAGTCACTTTCATCCTATACCTGATTGGTTGTGAATGTGGAGGAGCATTGATTTTAGATATATCTAGACATTGCAGTAAATGATTTGTATGAACTATGGAATTTTGAATGGGTGGATGATGAATTGATAGGCACCAGTAGGTACTCTAAGCAGTTGTACATTCAAGAAATTATGTCCGGTGTATAGTCAAAAGAGCGAAACATCTCTTCTTTGATTAATTTCTATCATTTAGTAGGATGTAATACAGTTCATTGTCACTTTTCCTTTTCTGTTCTTCTTCTCTTGTTTGTAGTCATTAACCAAATACCAGTAATGTAAAACATGACCAGTTAATTACAGAATATATATTGATATTTTATATTAAATGATGTCATATACATGAATAATAACTTCATCTTGACCCAGTTAGCATGGCTGTAAAACCAAGTCACTGTGGTGTGTGGTTCATGTATTTAAAATTCTAATTTTCAGATGCTGATCCGCCATGAAAAAGAACTGGAACAAATTAAACGTATGAACCAGCGGAAGGAGGAGGAGCTTATAAAACGACAAGCAGTTGAGAAGCGTGCTCTTCCAAAGCGAATTCGTACTGAAATGAAAGCTCGAGAGATGATGTTTCGTGAGTCAATGCGTATTAGCATGGCTTCTCCACCTGATCCAGATGAGGAGAGGGAGAAGCTTAAGAAAGTAAGCTCATCATTCATCACATTTTTAGTGTAGTGATGAGAGGGACTTCTCATTGTAGTCACCTGAAACTCCACCCATTTCATTAGAAACCAAAATAGTCGCATCACCTCAGTTATTAAATCCTGCTATCTTACTACCATGTGTAATACTATAGGCTGTGCAAGATTTTACAGGCAGCTTAAGGCTTGGGCCAGACGAGCGCATAATGTACGTCCGTTGCAACGAACATACTTTATGACAGACGTTGCTGAGGACACCACACAGTTGTAGAATGCGGTGCATAGTTTTTGTCTGCAGTGGAGCCAGAAGAAAGCATTCTTTATTTCTACAACAGACGTCACGACGTTCGTTACAATGGATGCATTTTGTGCGCTCGTGTGGCCCCAGCCTAAGAAGTATTCAATAAAACCAGTAAGCATAACTCCTCTGAATAAGGTAAGGAACAGGTGTTGTGGAAAATTAAAATATTTTGCATTTTTTTTTTTTTTTTCCATCTTTCAACATGTGGATGTATATGAATTACATTTGAAATACTGCAATGAATAAATGGTGGATTTAAGCATTTGACTTTGACCATTCTGTTGCTTATTTAGGAACACGTTAAGTTTAGTGCACCAATGGCAACAGTAAGGAATGGCAATAAATTGTGCTGACATTTTCATCTTGCACAGCAGCCTACATATGGACACGTTTTACTAACTGCCTTGGCTTTTCATTAAAGGATAGTAATACATGCAGCAGAAAAACCATCTAGCATGGGCCACATTGGGTCATGACATCCCTAGCAGAACTTGCCTCACAAACATAGCTCCTTGACAGAAAGAATTAAAAATATACATGTTTGTTCTGAACTGCAATATTTTTGTCCCTTTCTTTAGTTTCAAGAAAATGAGAAGAAACGTTACCGGGCAGAGCAAACACGGTTTGAGGTGAAGCATGCACGCCAACTTGAGGAACTTCGTGCAACATCTGAAGCAACTATCAAAGAATTGGAACAGCTTCAGAATGAGAAGCGTAAGTATACTTTTCCTAATTTGTTTACTGTTAAGTGGTGTGAACAGTGACATCTGTGCAGTTGAACAAGACAGGAATCACTGTTTTTTTGAAGATGTGTGTGACTGATGGTAGACCCAAGGGATTATAATTTATGTTACATGTTATGATATCCTTATAGGTTGATTAAAATGTGTTTAAACGAAACGTATAGTAAAGTCCGTATAGGTAAACATTTGTCTGATAAATTTCCTATCCAGAATGGTCTAAAACAAGGAGATGCTTTATCCCCACTCCTTTTCAACTTTGCTTTAGAATATGCCATTAGACAGGTCCAGGGAAACCAGGTGGGAATGAAATTAAACGGGATACATTAGCTGTTGGCCTATCCTGATTATGTGAATCTACTGGGTGATAATGTAGACACCATAAAGAAAAACACACAGACTTTAATTGACGCAAGTAAAGAGGTTGGTCTAGAAGTAAACACAGAGATAACTAAGTATATGTTGCTGTCTCGTCACCAAAATGCAGGGCAAAATCATGACATGAAGATAGGAAACAGATGTTTTGAAAATGTGGCACAGTTCAGATATTTGGGAACAACGATAACAGATCGAAACCTGATTCAGGAGGAAATTAAGAGGAGATTGAACTCGGGTAATGCTTGCTACCATTCAGCCCAGAATCTTATGACTTTTTGTCTGCTGTCCAAAAACATAGAATATACAGTGCTATAATTTTGTCTGTGATTCTGTATGGGTGTGAAACTTGGTGTCTGACATTAAGGGTGTTTGAGAATGGTGTTGAGGAGAATATTTGGACCAAAGAAGGATGAAGTGACAGGAGGTTGAAGAAAACTGCATAATGAGGAGTTTCCTAACTTGTACTATTCTCCAAGTATAATTAGAATGATCAAGTCAAGGAGGATGAGGTGGACAGGGAATGTAGCACGAATGGGAGAGAAGAGGAATGCATATAGGACATTGGTGGGAAAGCCAGATGGAAAGAGACCACTGGGAAGACCAAGACATGTGTTGGTGGACAATATTAAAATGGATCTTAAGAGAGACAGGATGGGATGATATGGATTAGATTGATCTGGCTCAGGATAGGGACCACTGGATGGCTCTTGTGAACACAGTATTGAACCTTTTGGTTCCATAAAATGCTTGGAAATTCTTGGGTAGCTGCACAATTGGCAGCTTCTCAAGAAGGACTCAGCTCCATAAGTAAGTAAGTAAGTTATAATATCCTTAATGTTTTGAGAGATGAATAGTTTGTTTTTGGAATAGTTAAGATATTGAAGATTTCATGAAAAGCATGAAGTGAAACCCTGTCAGAGAGGTCCTGTGTGCATGTGACAGCTCAAACATCACTTAGTGTTTTTGTATCAAATTTGTTATGGGCTGTCTATGGTAAAATCGTGGTGTGAATTTCATTTCTGACTATTAGTCTCTGAAGTTGAAACCAAACTTTCATCAGCTTTAAAAAATTGTGTACATGCAATTAAGAATGGAATACATGAAAGTAGCTTTTATTGAATTGGACTTTTGATATGGTATGGTACATATGTAATAAAATACTAGCAAAGAATTGTTTATTCTCATGTATGATGTAATATTTATCTGTAATAAGTGAACATCAAGATCAGTGAGATACACAAAACTAAAGAATTCCTTCATGCAATTTTATGGCACCATCACCACATAAAACATCAATAGGCAGAACATGGCACAGCATGCCATAAAATATGCAACCTGTATAATACAGTATCTCAGACAGAAGCTCAAGGAATATACCACATGAGACTTAAAGATTAGCCACATAACATCAACATCAACATCAACATCAAGACAGCAACAGGTGTATATCCATTAGTGCACATAGCACATGACTAATTGCCCAAGATACTACAAACTCCAGTATGAGCACCACTGAGATTACCTCAGCTGCTATAAGTACATAATTTTATTCCCCATTTTATTATATCATTTATGTGTTTTATATATATATATATATTCTGAATACAGTTTTCCACAAGTTACATACTCTTTTTTTTATGAAATGAAGTCTCTAGAAGTATTAAAATGTACTATAAAATATATAATACATTTTAATACTTTTATGTATTATATCATCTATTATATAATGTAATTATCTATTATATATATAATACATTTTAAGACTACTAGAGACTTCATTTAAAAAAAAAAAGAGTATGTAACTTACGGAAAACTGGATTCAGAATTTTTAATTCAGCAGCTTGTTTCTGATGTAGTAACCACCTGAAGATGACCAACACTGTTTGGAACATATTGTGGAAGTAATTTTAATAATAAAAATATTTGGCCACAGGAAAATTACAGTTGTGCTGATGGTTACAAGGAATGTGAAACATAGGTTTTACTGATAACTGTTTATAAAGAATACATTTAGAAATACTGTATTCTAAGCTAAAGAGTTTCTTTTCTCATTATTAAAACTGTACAACACAGCATCATCACAGAGTAGATAATAATTATTTATTTTATTATCTAGCAAAAATTTGACTTGTCTTAACAAACACGTTTTGTTTGTCTTGGAACCAGCTAAGGTATTTAGTATATTATTTTATAGCCTGCAAGAAGGCAACCCATAATATTAGGGTTATTGTTATGTAAGTGGTTCACAGTTATTGTTTTGGATGCTAAATGGAATCCTGTTTGCTGAACAGGCAAGATGCTAATGGAACATGAGACCATGAAACTGAAGGAACAGGAAGAGGCTTACAGCCGTGAGTTGAAGGAATGGAAGGGTCAGCTGAAACCTCGCAAGCAGGTAGAGTTGCTAGTTACAAATTATTTTGGGATCAGTAAAGGTGATGATTTCTGGTGAATGCTGTATCTTATATTTCTTAATTCCATCTGTTTGAGAAGGAGAGTGGTGTTGGAAGGGACTATTTTCCTTCCTCTGAGCCAAATTATCAGTCTTCGTGTGTCTGCCCATTCCCTGATTCACCTAAGGATATCACTGTTGTAGATGTTAACTGACCGATATTTGCGAAACTTGATTTCATTGAAGAGCTTCCAGCATGGTACTTTTTAACATAATTCTACCAACATAGTGGCAAAGCACACTTGTGAGATATGAACAGAACTAGTACCGTTCATTGTACAGCCTTGAAATTATGTGTGGTAATTAAATTGCTGAAAATTACATAACTTTAATTATAGTAATATTTCAGGAAAATAGCATGTTGCCTGCACAAAATAATATAGTGTAGTAGTGATATGTTACAATTATTGTAAGGAGTCATATGGAATTTGTATATCATGTTATAAAGACACAACACTATTAGCACAAATGATGTTAAAACTAACAAGACATAGTCCTTTCGATCCCTGAAATGTACCATGTCAATAGCATGTGCCATACATACTCATAATCTTACAGAGACAGGTAATGTTCTGGATCATTTAAATAAAAAGAGATACCAGAAGTTTTTAATTCAGCATGATTCAGTTAGTTTCTAAAGGCTGATATTTTGTAATACATTGCATTTATTTATGCATAGTAACAAAATGTGAAAGATACTTTTCCTGGATTCTGGTTTTAGTACCCACTAAAAGTTTCTCAAAGAATGGGCATTTTTGGTCTTTTCACATACCCATGTGATTGCATGTTGTAGCGTCTGGAGATGGAGTTTGCCTGTGCTCGTGAGCTTCTGCAGTACAGTGGCATTCCATTGGAGAAGGTCAGCACTCAAGTCCAGAATCGCCTGAGCATATCCAACTTTCCATATAATTTCCATGTTCCCCGGCCTTCTTTGTCCTCTAATACCACTCTTTCCTCACCCACGCTCACTCCTGTCATGGAACGCACTGAACATCGATTAAGCAGCAAGTCTGCTCCAAATTCTGGAACTAATTCTCCATTCACTCTTCCTCGCATTCCTCATGTTCCACGATCTCCTTCATCATTGACTCTCAACAAGTATTGAAGAAGCTCATTCATAGAGTTTATTCTGTCTCAGTTCTGATCTCTTTAAAATGGAAGTAAAACATTTTGTAAAGATAAATTAGTATTTGACTCATTTCCGAACTGTTATATCAGTTTCTAGGATATGCTGGCACACAAAGCCCATTTGATCTGTTTTGCTAGACATGCTACTTACTGGCTGGCAGTGTACTGGTAGGGCCTCTTTCTTTCAAGATTGAATGTGAAAAAAGTTGGAACAGGTGTATTATGCCCTGTAATATTGTAAAGAATAAATAAATGTTTCCATGAATATATTTCACCACAGCACTAAAGGCATCATTTGAAAGAACATGCTGAACACTGAGTCATGACATGATCCCAAAAGATTGTAAAAATCAACCCAGAAAAAATATTTTCAGGAAGATGTAAGAATGGTTTGTTATGTAGTTCTGTAACAAGCTATTTTTTTTATTGCTAGTGGGGTGAGACTAAGTCCCTTATACTGCGGCCACTTCTGGCCTATTGTACCAGCCCCAGATGATAGGCGAGGGTGATTGTGGAGCAATTGGTGGAATGAAGATTGGCAGGTGGAACCTAAGTTCTTGAAGAAAACCTGCCCCAGCGCCACTTTGTCCACCACAAATCCCATTTGACCAGACCCGGGATCGAACCCGGGCCACCACGGTGGGAAGCCAGCGACTAACTGCTTGAGCTATGGCACAGCCTGTAACAAGCTAACTAGGCATAATATTTGGAGAGTTTTTATAATTATTTATTAGAGTTATGTATAAACATACTGGTTTAAGAATTAGATATGGAACATAAGGAAGCACGTGAAAATAAATGGATTCTTGCATCAGTTCACTGAATATGAAAGAGCATTTTACTCAAAATTGTACTGTTGCTTGAACTGCTTTTTACAAATTGTGGATATTGTAAGTGCACTCCAGGTTTTTATGGCCTCTTCAGTTTTATGAAAAGGTTGGTCTTATGAACTTATACATCCATTGACACCACCCATGTGAAGTCAGAAATATTTAAAATAGGTTTCATGAAATGTAATAAAGTAACACATGAGCTCGAAACTTGTACCAGACAAATTAAACCTTTTACATTGTCTTATGACTACATTTTACATTATTCAGTAGGCTTGGTGCTTTGTTAGCATTTGCAATTGCAGTCCTAATTAGAGATATTAAAGTAAACACTAAATATTGTGTGTGCCACCTAATAATACATCTGCGATACAGATTTGAGTCTTGGAAGTAGTGAGCTGCATATTTGTTGAGTGCCATATCATGTTTAATTTTTGTCCTTGTAAATTCAAGATGGGTCCAGTTATCCGTCTCATATGTGCTTTTATTGCAGATGATTGAAATGCTTTCCTCATTGTTTTCCCAGATGTGTTTACAGCGTACCTTGGTGTTGGGACCTTAGCCTGATGGGCAGAATGCACTCTGTTGGGTCACTGACAGGACCTGTTACAGTTGTGATAAAATGCTTTCAGTGTTACCTTATTTTTAGAGTTGCTTCAAAACCATTGTAATAAGCTGTATGTCTTCTTGTCTTCTTGTACCCTGGTCCAACGGGGGCATTTTCATATGAACAGCATGTCATTAAATGGCACTCCATGTTGACCTATAACTTTCTGTCATCAGTAATATTGACATGGTATATGCCACTCAGTATATGGTTTTAACATTTTTTATTGTAGTTGTTTGGAAAGTGCACAGCTTACATTAAGTGGAGTTTTCTAGGAAAATGAAAAAGAACACAATGTCATACGCTTGGTTCAGAGTCAGCTGTTTCCATGAAGATATTTGTAACTATGGAAAGGCTTGAAATTAGTTTTTAGAAGTGGATCCCGACTTAATAAGCATTATAGGTAGTACTCTACTTTTTTTTTTTTTTGAACAGTCTGTGAGATCTGTATTGATGGAAGCCTGAGACTGTTAAATTTTGTTGGTTTTCTTCACAGTTTGCCATAATGTTTATATTTTGTATGCACATTGAATATATTATGTGCAAAAAGATAATTTTGCTGACATTATTAATCCTTAGTAGCTTTATTAAAAAAATGTTATATACCATGTAGTTGAGAGCAAAGAAGGTATGTGTACTTTGCTGTTCATACGGTTGCCTGCATCACCTTGTTTTGGAATGTGACATTTGCTGACTGTCTAGTGTGGCTTTTTCATTGTGCATACAGCCCTCAAGTTATTGCCAGTTGCATTACACGTAAAATACAGATATTCATTTCAAAAGAAGCCATGTTTAACTCCCCTACTGTCTAAAATTATGCACAGTAATACAGTTACTGATTGTTTTCATGTGTTATGTATGGGAAGTGGGTTGTCAGTTCTCAAATATACATATTTGAGGAAATAAGGTCTTTCTGCATTTGAAGAGTACTGTAGTCTGGTGGAAGTTTATACCACATCCCATAAGATAATACTCTTCTCGATCACCTCCATGAGAGCCTCAGGTATCATATTTTTCAATAGCCTCTATACAGTTCCAAGTTGTGAAAATTCATCTCCATATTCAAGGTACTCATTCTCTTTTGGTTTTAGGGCTTTTGTGCCAGTTTCATTAAATTTTCATTATTTTGATATACTGTTATTTAATTTCATCATTATTATTTTAATTTTCAGAGTAATGCTAAATCAATTTATAAATTATGTAAATGAAGTTTCCTTGGTGTCCCATGTAGCAAATTAGAGACAATGACACTAAATGAGTAGGTGTATTTCAACTGGTTAATGAAATGGGCTCTTGTGTAATCATAATCATTGTTGGTGCATTCTGGTTGCTCTTTATATTCCTCTTGTCTGGTTCCTATTAAGAAACCTTTCTAAGTTAAGTTATACCTTATCTTGCCAAAATCCTCCCGAGACTTTGGAAGATCTGGAACATGAGTTGTTTGGGTCATCATCTATTAATTAGGTGTGTAATCTTATGCAGTCCAAACTAGCATCTGTTTAATATGAGATATGATTGATTCCATAATTGTAAAGTAAGAAATTACAAATGTATTGTGTACATATTTGTTTTGATGCTGTTTAACCTTAATGCTGATCATAGTGATACAGGTTACACAAAACTTTATAGTTTTTATAAATTTAAATGCGAAGTAAAAAGTGGTGAAAATTATTGAATAGTTTTGCCATAGTGTCACTTAAGTATGTTAATGCCAGGTTTGCTTCAGTCTGTACCTTTTTAAGGACTTCATTAGCTGTTTGAAGTCAGTTTTAAGATTACCTAGTTATCTCATTAAATTTCATCAGATGTCATAATTTGGAAGTATCAGTGTTTCTTATAAACCATAATGCAAGGAGATTTTTTAGTGTAATACACAACAGGTTTTCAACCTTGCCAGCTTATTGTAAGAATTTACTTTAATTTTGCTGCCCACATGGGGCAGCCTCTCAACCCATGAATTTAAACTCATATAAAGCTATGGAAAACTACACTTAAGGTGACTGAGTGAGTAAATGGGAGTCCATGATCCAGTAAACTGAAAACCTTTTATTGATAAAATCATCCATAAAAGTATTAAAAAAAATCTAAAATAAATTAATGAATTTGTCTTCGTTATATATTATATAGACCCATTACTAGGTAATGACTGCAAAACAGACATGTTTCCATGGTGAGTCCACACGCGACAATAGAAGAACTGTTGGAAACTGTTTTCTGAGTGGTCCGTGCTGAGATGTTATAAGCAGGACAATTGGAGGAAGGGTTTAGTTGTGGGATATTCACCGGACGGTAATGAAATGAATACAGAAGCTGAAGAATCTCCACTGTTAGAAACCATTACAAGGCAAGAGCTATTGGAGACTGTAACAGACTGAGAACACTAGTCTGTGTGCTTTAGTGATTTGTAAAGTGTGGAGATTAGCAAGGGCGCTATAATTAGGTATGGTTATGAGTTGTGTGTTTGAAGTGGTCAGTAAATCCAATCCAAACCCTGCCTATAATCAGTCACTCATGTGACAATATATATAGACATAGACATAAATGTGGTTTACCAACTTTTTAAAAACAGGTTTTACTGAGAATTACTGGATTTTTGGGCTTGTCCATCATCTGGTATTCTGAAAACTAGAGAACACAATGTTTTGGAAACTGGATCTTTCTAAGGGACCAAACAGAGTAGGTGTCTTCCCTTCACCTGAGGATGGAAACAGATCCAGTTGCCAATACATTATGTTCTTAAGTTTTTAATGTGCAAATGATCAACAAAGTCCAATTCTGAGTGTTATACACCATCATCAGAACCGTTTAAAATCTAAGTTGTACTGAGCAACAGAAAATCTGCCTGCTGACACCACTGAGTTCAGCATGATAAGTCAGTATGAATTATGCACGACAGAAAACTTGTTGCATGCAGTAGCCAGGTCAGATTATAACAGACAAAGCAGACCTACCTTATTGCCTTAAATTGGAAAGGTTTAACCATAGCTTATCGCAGATTTACGATGTATGATGTGTTGATTGAGGTATTAGGATGATAATGAATGATACACTCATGTCAGCAAGTCTCATGATTCCTTTCAAATTATGAATGTGTCCAGATAGTGCATTAACAGTTCTCATTTGCTGCTGCATATATATTTTTACTGAAAATGTGTTTTACACCAGGGGTGGTAAAATTACAATTTCATGATGTATTTAGTTTTATTGTTCATCTTGCTCTGGTGTATGCACATTAAATATTGTGGCATATACACCTGTTACTAAGCAGTGACTGTAAACAGCGACCGTTGCTAGGTAACACACAACAGAAGAAGGAGTTATGCAACCCGTGTCTAAGCAACAGTTCAGTAATCACGTTACTGTGGTAATGGACATCAACGCAACAATAGAAGAACGGTGTTTTCTGTGTTGTCTGTGCCAAGATGTTATAAGCAGGACAGTTTGAAGCAAGGAGTTAGTTGAAGTGAGATAGTTGTCAGCAGTTCAGTTCAGTTGAGTGAGGTTAAGTGAAGTGAAGTGAAGTAGCCGGTTGGTGGGTAAGAGAGTTCAGTTGTCAGTTGAAAGTCAGCCTGTGAAGACAAGATAAGGAGGTTGGTGTGAAATGGCCACAAGCCTGGGACCCCGTTAGTTGAGTTGTCAGTTGACCATAATTCTGTATGGGCAGCTGTGACAATGGGACCTGAGCACAGGAAGCTGAAGACTCTCCACTCTGTTAAATCTGTTGCCAGGAAACAGTTAGCGGAGACCGTAATAGACAGAAGACATTAGTCTGTGTGTGTCAGTGATCTGTATAGTGTATTTCTGAGTGGTGTATACAAGTGGTCAGTAAATCTGTTTACAAATCCATACCCTCTCTGTAGTCATGCACCCCTAAATTGTGACCATCTAATGGAAGTTACTTTGGATATTGTAAGTGAAAATCTTATTCTGCCAAGTACAGTCCCCCCCCCCCACCTCTCCAGTTTGATCTGGATTAGTATTTATACCTCTTGTGCCCATACATTTATTTATATACTGTTATAGTATACAGCCTTCACCCGGAATAATGTCCTTTCTCAGCTTTATTTTCAGATGTAGCACAGAAATCTGTTTCATTTAAATTCTACTGTTGGTTCTTGGTCCCTGAAAGTCACATAAATGTGTATTGCATGATGTTCTCATTCAGTTGTTTTCTAGTATGGAGCACTTTGACATATATCTTGCTGTCATGTCTGGGTGGTTGACCATCATATCATAGACCATCTTTAAACACTCTTCACTACAGTACAGTTTTCCGACAGGAGCTTCAATAGTAGTTTCTTAATTATACCACTGCAGATCAGTTGCTAAACTGTTGATGGAGAACATGAATGTTAAGATGTAATTAAATAGAAAAACTGCAAGAGATGTATCCTGCTCTGTATGACACAGAATATCATCATAAATTGTGAATCTGTACAGAGGTGACAATGTACATCTTTGATGTGAATGTAATATAATGATTACTGTTATTCATACAATTGTAGAAAAACTACAGTATAAGAAGGCAATTTGAAGTGATGCTGTGCTGTATTTTTGTAGCTCTTGGGGGCTGTGATAAAAAATAGGGATAAAAGGTTGATAATTGTGGATTGCATTAATAGGTAACACTAAGGTGAAATGATGAAGTTTGTATGGCAGGCTGCTGTCATACAAATGGTGGTGTTTCTTATACTTATGGTTATGGGCTGACTTATTTTATATTAGTTGAAGATATGTGTAATATAAAACAATATGTTATCTAAATATCCTTAAAAGTAATGCCTGTAATGTAAAAATATTGTGTGAGACTCTTCTTGGCTAGATAGTGCTTTAGCAAAATTCTGATGCAGGACTGACAGGTTATATGATACAGGCTCTAGTAGCACATGACCTGTCAAACTTTTTTTCAATTTAAAAATTAATACATTTACATTGGAAATCACGTTGAGTGCTGTGTAGTGAATACTTTCCCCGTTTATCAACAGTTATCGGAACTGCAGAAGGTACACTGGGCTCATAATATTACCTTTCCGCTGTAGCTGCAACTTGCTATCATATGGTTTCTCAATTAAAATTTTGAACAGCCACAAAATTGATAGGCAATGTTCAGTGGTGCCCAGTAATGTTGAATAATAAATCTGATTATATTTATAATTTTTTCATTGCCTGACATTTGCTCTTCTGTTAGCATGCTATACTTTATTATCATGTTTTCTGGCTTCCATTTGCTTTTGAGCGTATGTAGCAGAATGTCTTTGTTCACATTGCCAGGCAATTTTTTTTGTCTTTTAACTTTCCTGAATTCTGTTTCTGGGGTAAAAAAGATTGTATATATATAATTTTTAATATTAGCTTGTCAGTTGTTAACATACAGACAGCGTAATATTTCTTGAGTGAATCCTAGTTTGCAGTCTATGCCACCAAATGCACAACAATCAGCATGATGGGCGAACCTTGTACCATTGTTTACATATCTTAGTTTTCTCCCCATTCTTGTAATTGTGTGACAGGAATGGAATATTATATATATTAAGATTGATTGTTCTGAGATGTGATGACTTTTTCCTTAAAAATATGTAATGTTGTGTGGTGATCAGTGATTAATATAAGAGAACAGGATATATGGGAAATGGATGCATACCTGTTGGAAATAAAAATATATGTACAAAATTTTTGGACAGATTTCCCATCTGCCCAAAAACTGAGCTTAGATGGGGAGATAAAGTGAAGTGGGTCTTAGAGAAATTACTTTTTAAACGTGTAGGCTGGATTGATCTTCATGATATGATCCATTGGTAGACTTTTATTGTCCGCGTTAGAATTTCTTAATTGGCAGAGTATTATCTGCCCAGTGAAGACTATGGGTGATAAATTTGGTCAGTTTATTAGACGGAAATGTGAACAGAAGGCTCTTACACATCTTATAAACTGGTCTCTGTTATTTCGGTCAACAGTTTTCAGTTTTTGTTGTTTGCTTAAATGATTGCAGAGATTAGAAGAACAGTTTGCACAGCAGTTAGAAGATCAGGAGCAGGTGTTTGGGCCATCACCACCACTGCCAGCTGATCTGCCAGACCTACCAGTCCATGATCGTACCCATCACATAGGATCAACCCGTAGCAGCCTCTCTTCTGTGTCAGAAGGCTGATGGGTAGTTTTTGTCTGCCACTTATGACCTATATATCATGGCCTCTTCACGTGCCCTGGCCTGTGATACATAGCATACAAGTTGGTGCAAGAAGACTCATCCATGTCAAGAAATTGGCTGCCAGTGAGAAAGTGGCCCATAAACCCAATAAGTTATGAATTGGCTGTGTTCTAAAGACATTCTTTCATCAGCAGTTCCTGTATGTCGTATTGTTCATACATTAGATTGCTCATGTAATTTTATTTTTTTCTCAGTTCCACTTTATAATACGGATTTTTAAACATGCAGTCCAGCTTTGTTGCCCCCATTTAATGTGCTTCAGCACATTCTCTTACTGCTATATTGTGTATTAACACATTCACTGCCAGGCATTTAAAGAGCCATTTCCACATTGCTGTGAAGAAATTTGCGTAACTAAAAATCTGATGTGTAGATTTTAATTACATTTAGCCATTTCCTGGTATAGAGCATCCTTGAAATTGGAACATGTACATTTTGTTTCACTCCTGATATTCTTCTTGCATATTCTGTAGTCTCTTTGGATTAGTTTTCTTCATTGTTGGTGGTATCTTGGTTAATCTATGGTTTACTGATTTCCCATGTAATCTTCTGTTGGTATCCTTCACTGGAGCTCTGTTTTGGTAGCTTACGTGACCTTGTTCATAGATACAGGTTCCAAACTGATTGACCAAATCTGTCAAATATTTATATATGTATATGGGGAAATAACTTCTTCTGTGACATCTGGAAGGAAGTCTAGTCACCTTTTGCATCGTGTCATGCATCTTCAGGGGTTTCAAGGTTTCATTATCTTTTTAGGCTATCATAGGGTCATATTGCTGCAATAAGACTGAAATTTGTTTAAATCAATATCTGGATTAACTTTACGCTGTTATAAAATTTGTTTGTGTGGGTATGGTGTCTTTATGTTCATATACAGAGCGTTCAATCATCGAGGAAACCGGGGGAGCAGCATGAGTCAGATACAACCTTACTCACAGATTGCTGCTGTAACTGCTGATAACAGAATGAGTCATCAGCGCTGATAAACGCTTTTCACTATATAATGGAACTTGCTGTATAGCGTGAGGATTTTACATGCATAATTAGTTCAATTGCTGTGGATCAACTTTAGAAAGTGTCGCATAATTTATTTATGCAAGCAGAAGGGGTCACTTCCAACACCTGTTATAACGCATGGTAAGTTTGCTATCTTTTTACAGTATTCCTATAAATGTTTGGATGTACAGAAACTGATGTGAGGGAATCAGTGACACAATTGCACTCTCACTAGCAGGGAAGGGTACAGTGGTCACGGAGAAATGATTCATCCACTATATACTAGCGAGAGTGTGTGCGTTTATCAGCGCTGATGACTCATTCCGCTATCAGCAGTTACAGCTGCAATCTGTGAGAAATTTATCTGATCAGTGCTGCTCCCCTGGTTTCCTCGATGGTTGAACGCACTGTAGTTTGAGCAGGTTGATCTTATAGAGGATCACTAACACCATCATGAATATATAGATTACACACACCTTAGAGCACCCTAATAGACTAATTATATCATAATCCCATTGTTTTCAAGCCTGCCAAGATTGCACACCTGAAAAATATCAGTGGCTTTTTCATTTCAGTTTGCTTTTGTCAGTGCCCAATTTTTATGATGGATTGTACACTGTCTTGAAGAGTGTAGAAGTGTGCTCAAGCAAAGGTCTTATGTTGCAAAGTTTGCCTTCCTTGCATTTGTTTTTATCACTGAAATCATGAAGTTGTGACATAGAATATTGGTGTTGCCAGTATTCTTCACTCTTCTTCACAATTATACATTTCTTTATAATTCCAGTGAGGATCCACAGTTTATGAGTTTTTTTCAATCAAGTTGATGTGATGAAACTGTGTTAAGCTTAAAATCTTGCCAGGTTTCAGAAACTTATCTGCACAAGAGTTCGTTTCTCCATGAACTGTCATGAGAAGATCAGTGTGTAAAAAAGACTTTGAACTATTCTGCACTTTATGAAACATTGTCAGTGTAAATTTCCTGCCAGTATATGCAGTGAATGGACATGTAGGGTGGATAGGTGGTTGTCTGCATGTGCACACAATGATGAAACTGTACCAGTTTTGGCAGTGAATGTATTAATAGTTGAGACAAAGTTAGCACCTTTTGTATGATTTTATGTCTGAGAATAGTGAAGTTAATTGACCCTTCATAATTCTGTCAACAAAATACAGTGTCATGTTTCTGCTGCTGTTGGATGATTCACGGTCCCTCCATTTCCAGTAAAGACAGACTTCAGTTAACTAGAGGCATTCACATGAAATTTTAAGATCATTCAGATTTTGCGAGCTCCCATATTTAAATTTTCTAGGCATTTAGTATTTTCCAAATGTTTTCTGCCTGATAAAGAATTTTTCAAACAGGTCCTCCCACCCTTTAGACTTTTAGTTTCTTACATATTTTGTTCTGCACAGAGCATGTAAAGTGAATGAATAATGAGCTATTATGTCTGTCAGTCCATGCATCCATCCATTTAATCTTCAGAACTGCTTAGTAATGTGACAAATTTTATTTGAACGAATGTAACCTGTACTGTATGAAGTTCAGACTTGACTAAATTGCTTAGAAAGAGAACTTTCTGAAACCGTTTTTCTCTATATTGTGTATTTAACAAAATATATAGAAAAATAACTTGTTTCTCTGGTTATTGTAACATGTCTAACTTTGTGAACAACAAAAATTACAGCTCTTTATGATGCATTATCTATATTGCTGGTTAGATCTGCAATAAATGAACAGCTAGACAAATGTCATATACACAACCACAAAGATCACACTTGAAAAATGCCCCCCCCCCAACCAAAAAAGGAGAATGTATGGTCAAAATATAATATGGAAAGAAAAATATAAATACAAACAAAGAAGTCAATTCTCAATGGTTCTGATTATAATACATAACACCAAGGCTCACTGGGTTCCTTGACTTCGTCCATCATCTAATATTCTTAAAGAACATGTTCCATAAATTGGACGTTTCCATCCAAAAGTTAAAGGATGGGGAAGCAGCTAGAGATTAGCTCTATGTAACAAACCCAACTGAGAAGTGCCTCCCACCTTCTGCTAGATGATGGGAACAGATCCAGTTCCCAAAGTGTGTTGCTTTAAATATTAGAGGATGGTTGAAGTCTTATAAATTCAGTAAACCCAACAGAAAAGAAGCAAGCAATTCAGTCACACAGTTACTCGTAGTAGTTTATAGAAGTTTGCTCATAAAAGGGGCAAGATTGGTATAAGTACATTGTTTTATACACGCTCTTTAAGAGAGAACAGTAATGCAGAAACTGCAGTTTTAGTTCCAGAACTGGATAGTACTGTGGTATTGTGAAGTAGCATTACATTAAAAGGAGAATTTATTCACAAACTGAACTATAATTGTGATCTTAGTTTCCTGGAGACAGCATTATGATACACAACCAAAATAGAATTACCAGCTTCAAATAAAACAGTCTGTAACATGATCTAAGTTTGATATAAAATGTGCCAGGTTCATCATAAAACTTTTTTGATGGAATTATGGTTGTTGCTTGTTTTGTGTGGACAGTTACACTTAAGACTTCTTCCCTCTTTACCTGCATTTATCATTCCTAGATCAGTTCGTTTAAAACTTTTATATCTTCATTAACAACAGTTTGTAGAATTTTAGTACATTTGCTTTTCATTTATTTTAAAATTTTTTGGAGAGTTTGTATGTCATTAAATGTGAAAATAGTGTTTAATGCTGGGTTGTGAAATGGCACATAATATAAATATTTACATTTGCCCAGTAATTTATTTTGGCTCTTAATTTAACTAGTAGCCTTGTAATTTTTTTTACTTGACCACTCTCCATAGTTAATAATGTCAGGAGTAAGAACATGTTGTTTACTCTCATTTGAATTGCTTCCCTTTTCTAAAAATGGTCAGAAAATGCAGTTTTAGTCATTTGCTAAAAGAAATAGAGAACAGTATTTGAGAAACCAGTATTTTGATGTTATAATGGACTTCTGTTGAACAGTCTCTTTCAAACCAGATAAATGAAGTGCAACATGAACACTGTTCACTTCTGACGCATGTTTTAGACCATCCTATTGGTGTGCAACATGTGACAACAATCAGCCCTGCTCTCAGGTATTATCAATTGGAATTGGAACATGATTAAATTCATATGGACATTAAACTTTTCTGGGATACAGAAGACTGTACACAAGAGTGAAGTCAACAGTAGAGCACAGGAAATTGTATCCCAGTTGTCACTTTCCAGCTTACTGACTTCTCATAAGTGAAGCTATAGTAAATAATATTGAATATATATTATTTTATGTACTAAGTTTATATTGAACATTATTGTTATCTGCTATTCTTACTGTTTCTTTCTATCAAAATATGAACTATAGAAAGTGTATTAAGTCTTTCCATGAGTGTCAGTCCATGACTCATATCCCTTGAAAACATAAATCAGTGAGAAAACTTAACACAATGCATTTGTATGCAAGAACAAGCTGTAGCATTAAAAGGGTTCAAATTAAAAGTGTAGCACTCTTTATATATGACACTAGATTCCATGTTAATTTTTCTTTAATATTTTTAGCTTGACCATTCTGTATACATTGGCTTGTATGGAGAAAGGGAGGACATGTTCTCTTCCTGAATGGTGCACACCTTTAAAATTATGATGCTGTTAGTATAAAGTTGTATATTTGCTTATTTGTTAGTCAGACTGAGTATATGTGTGTATATGAATGATCATCTGGTATGAAGCTTCATATGTACATAAATATTATACCTAGATTTATATGCACACATTGATATATGTATATACACTGCAACATTTGAAGAAATGTAGTAAAATAGTTTTAAAATGAATGTTTGAGTCTGGAAGTAATCCAGGAAAAGTTGAACTGAAGACTTTAGTTTGAAGTCATTGAAAGTTTGCCAATCATTTGCTCAGTTAAAAGGAAAATAATAATAATAAAAGTAAACTAAAATAAATGATTTAGATGGCTATTCTGTATGAATTTTATTATAAAAAGATGTGACATTTGGATTTATTTTCTTGTCTGGAGTGGTTCTGACACAATGGAACCAAGCTTGGTACTCACTTGTGCAAGTTTCATGCATATGTTCATATATAAAACATTTTTCATTTTCATTTTCACTTGTGTACTTGCCATTGTCCTGACAAGTTAAACTTTAAAAGATGCATTTGTTATGTATATGTAGATTATTACTTTTATATTACTCAATTACATGTTTTCAGCATTATGTCCCCCCGCCCACAACTGTGAACTTAAATGGTTTGCATATTTTTCTGTAGTTTGCGGAAGGCACCTTGTCAGCTTCATACATCTTACAAAATTCTTTGTTGTGCCACATCAATTCATTACTCAGAAAGGAATTTACAGAGGCTCAGAATTTATAATAACTGGAATAAGGTGTGTTACTGTTTTTGTGGTTATTGTTTAACCATTTCCTCGTTTTAGACATGATCAGTCGTGTATATTGTGAACACCAGTTTCAGTATCAGTTAGGTATGCTATTCTAGTGTTGCATCATGTTTTATATTCTGTTGTCTCTGGATGAGTGTTTAGATCATTTGGCAATAGTACCCATCCTTGTGTGTTGTTTACATAGAGGGATTCATTCAACAAACAGTTCCACAACTAAAACAGGGGCTTTTCTGCATGCTTCCTGCAGTCAGTACAAGGTCTGAGTGAGAGCCGTGGAACTTCTGTGTTTTAATTACAGAACAAAAACCTTAAAGCCAGCTTGGCAGTGTATTTAATCTGTCTGTTTTGACTGTTGAAATATTTGAAGAATGATCCCCACTCTATAATTACTATTAACATTTATATGTCTGATCTGGCACAATTCCTTCACCTGAAGAGGAATCTAGCCCCAGAGTGAATCTTTCCCATACTCCTGGAAAAATGTGTTAAGCAAACCCACAAGTGGACCAGTAAAAAGGACATAGAATTGGGAGCGGGTAAGGTAATTGCTTATCCAGTAATATTTATGTTATGTATTTTGTAACATACAATAAAATAGTTGTGTATTAAGTTCTAGTTGGCAATTCTGTATTGCTAACCTGTATTTGTTAATATTCTGTTGCCCACAAACTTACGTAGTTTGTATTTCAGTCATTATTAATAAATTAAGATGATAGTATTTACTGTAATTGTACAGTATTTAATCCACATAATTTGTCTTCAGAATGGCCTCAGTCTCTGCAACATTAATTCTCTAACCTTATTAGTACTCTTATTAATAGAAGAGAATTTCCTGTATGCAATAAGAAACCTACTTCTGAAGACTGACTGGCCCAGTCCACCAGCAGGGAAAATGTTTGTAACAAGCTTATTTTTTACAGTGAGGATTTGTTAGCCAAGTCCAACTCCCAAGCTGGAGGACCACCCCTTGTCGGCTGTCCACGACTGCTTATTCAGTATATTCACAGCTACCCTCCATATCTGGAGGATGTCTCCTCCATCCGCAACCTGAGGATGTGTCATGCCATGGTGACAAGGGGCCCACCTATATGCTATTCTTTTAAAGAAGTAAACACTTTTATTCAGTGTGATGTGTTTTAGGAGTTCCAAAAGTGTCACAAGGTTAAAAAATGTAATTTGTATGTACACTCTAAAACTTCTGTGATCCAAAACGTCATTTTCTACAACCAATCAATGTCGTGGCAACTTTTCAACATAATTTTATACTCCCTACAGAGTAATAAGGCAGAAATGTTTCATGCTTTGTATTTAAAAGAAGTCACAGCAGAAATTTTACATGTTAGGTTATGCTTATTCATCACTTACAGTTGTTTTCTGAAAACAATTGCTTAATAAATCTTGTATGTTTTCCAAAGATTTAAGACTGAGCAATAATGTTATTCCCAAGTCATAAGTCTACACAGCTGTTATGCTGTTAACATAGGTGTTGGAGTTATGAAGTATTAAGATGTGAAGTTTCATGAAAATTGATCATTGTTCATAATACTAATGTTTGTAACTGAATCATTGGACAACAGGCAGATACAAAAATCATTAATATGGTTCAAAAGAAAGAATGTTGTTCCTCTGACATCCTAAAAACCATAAACCTTTTTACTCTGGGGCCAGTCAGCAGACTAACAGAAGAATGTTCCACTCTAGACCTTACGGTAATATGTTTATATGTGTCTTTGAAGCACAAAATTCTATTTTTCTCTCCCTCATAGTAAGTGCTTCTGCATACAGAACTTTCTTTCATGGCCAAGTGAGGGAGGCAACAAAGTTTATAGGCTGTCTGTATCTGGAATCCGAATCCATTTGATGATATTGTAAAGAAGTATAAGAAGTGTTCCATTGAAGTGCAATACAGTTTGCTCAGAATAGAAGGAAAGAAATAAGTCAAGAACAAGATGAAGAGAGAATTTTATTCTGATCGAAGCCAAACCATTAGTTTACATGAATGGCCTAATTACACTTCTGAAACACATTTTTGCAATACTTTGGCTGAATAAAAAAAATATATGCAGATTAAATTGTAGGCTAACAGTATAAGCATACTCGTCATATACATATTGATACGGCATTTCATGTGTTGAATTACATATGCTCTTTTTCCATGAACACTGCCCCCCCCCACACACACACACACATACAATATGATGTCACATCATTTATGTGATGAAGAGGCCTGTGTCTCTATGAAGATTGACCAAATTTTGATAAAGAAGTAGTTTCAAACCTTTCTAAATAATAAATATATCAGACAGTTATTTTTCTGTACTTATGTATGTGTATGTGTGTAAGGGGTGGGCCATAAAATCCAGCCCTTGCACTGCAACCTTCAATGATCTATTGTGCTTCCCCTTTGAATTAACCCTTTATTAATCCTACACTTTGAATGAAATGTAGGACTTGGTTCCATGAAGGACTGGCCCAGGTGACGAAATCTTAAATAAGCTATGGCCTCACAGTCACATGGGATATTTACTGACTGTAGTATCAGTTTTGTTTAACATTTCAATCAGCCTTGCTAATTTTGCAGTATACTGAATTCTGTGAGAATGTTGTACAGTACCTCTCTCCTAGGTGAATCATAGGCTTTTTTCAAGTCTACGGTGGCTGATGTATTGTCCCCCTGTATTTTTTTAACATCATCAGTATTTTAGTGCTCTCCAATACAGGACCACACAGCTGCTGAAAGAGTTGTGCATTTCACCACTGGCACAGTGACATGCCCATCAGAAAGGTGACAGACATCCAGGGTGAATTTAATGCAAGTTGGTCAAAAGGCAGGCACTCATGCTCTTTATTCTTTCCCCTGATTTGGATGTGATATTTATTTCTCTTACTGAACATGTACTGGAATATGGGCTGTTGTCAAAATACATGATGCTTCTTGCAATTCTTATATTCAGTTATTCAAATACACTCTATATCAAACCTACATATTATGAAAACTTCGATGGCCAGATATCAGAGGTGAATACAGAAAAAAATGTTAACTACAAGGCTATTCATCCTTGATGTGCAGAGTTGTTTTAAATCAATCACCTATCGTGGAAAATACATAAAACATATTTTTTTACACAGAACTGTCTGTTTGCATGTAATAATTTACACATCATAAAACACATTAAACTGTCAATTTACTTAAATTGGTTAACTGAATTTTAAGAATTATAAGTTGCAAATGAAAGAGAAAGATATGCATAACAGTGACCTAAGAGCTATTCAAATTTTTGAACACAACATAATCGTCTTCCTGAATAATAAATGAATGTCTTATGAAGAATTTTCTTAACAGTGGAATCACGAAATTCTAGTAGCTTCATGGAACATCAAGCACTGTGTGACAAAGGCTGTGGAAGATCCTGAATCAAAGGTGAACATGGGAGTAAATACAGTATTAGTAGGATTTCTAACTACTGAGGGGCAGTTTCTCAGGAATGTTTAAAAGCATAAGTTCTCCCTCAAAGGGACTATTGAGCATTCTCACAATGTATTAAGCTTATTTAGGTTAAGTGCTGAAAAGTAAAAGGGGAGCTGGGATAGCACAGTCAGTATAGTGACAGGCTACAGGCTACATAGCCAAGGGGCCAGAGTTCAAGTCCTGGTATGGGCAAAATTTTTCTCTTCTTCACATCATTCAGACTGGTACTGGGGCGCCAAGCTGACCACTCACCTCCAACTGTGGATGAAGCGAAATATACGTGGGTCTATACATTCACACTCCCATACATCTTCATGGTGTAGTGCTTAATTAATTAAGCACAGGGACTTTACCCTTTTACCGAAAACTAAATTAAACATTCTTCTTTAGAAATCAGCATCTGATTTTGTATGCAAGAGTATGATTATGATAACCTTACAAGTGTTCACTCTTATACCATTTCATTTCTAATTAATGATGTATGAAAATTTTGATATTAGAGCAAACAATTATCATGTCTTTTCTACATAATTTAACAAAGTTTCTGGAGTGGTATACTTCATATCTGGGGATGTCAGGGAGGTAGCAGCCCTTGCTTTAGGTTATGCTGCCATGCCTTCAAAGGACATACCAGATTATCAGATGGGCTCCTGCCTCATACTTATATTTTACCACATTTGTATGCACAATGAATGCTGCCAGAAAGCATAACACCAGCCGGATTCACATTTTACTAAATATTGTTAGCTAAAATAACAGCATTTGCCTTAAAGTTTGCACACACCTAAAAAGCAAAGCTATCCCTGTAACAGGCCATGGAGGCCTGTAGGGTTGTGAGCCGTCGAGGCTCCTGCATTTTCTAGACAACCGGTTCACAGGTGGTGGTGGGGTTGTCAGCATTATGAGCCAGTTGCCCTTTACCCCTAGGAAGATTCCTGGCATTCATTTCTGTTAGAAGCCGAGTCAACCTCAGGGCCATTATGCAGTTTGAAGGATTAGGTCAACTGAAAATCATCTTACCTCATCGGAAATCAAAACCACGACCTTTCATCTTGTAGCATAGTGCGTTAACCACATATCCTTCAGCGTCCCCCTTACACCTAATGTATACAGAAATATTCGTTTTCATTCCCTCTTACAGGTCATTGAAATACCGCACATCTTTGTGATTTAGTGCACCAATTTTGTTAGAAAAACTGTTAATTTATCCATATAAATCTTATGGCCGAAATATTTATCATGTATAAAGTCCTGCTAGTACTAGCAATTAATCCCTGGGTACCATTATTGTATTACTGTACTAAGAAATATTATAAATAGTGGATGCAATTGTACAGTAGCCATTTGATAGCAAACCTTGTTTGAAAGTACCCTTAGGTACAAATTCGAATTTATTTACATAACCTGTTATGAACCGGGATAGTGTAGTCGGAATAGCGATTGGCTACAGGCTGGATGACCGAGGGAGTCGGAGTTCGAGCCCCGGTAGGGTCAAGAATTTTCTCCACGTCATCCAGACGATCCAGACTGGCTTTGGGGTCCACCCCACCACCTATCCAATGGGTACCGGGGGTAAAGCAGCCGGGGCGTGGAGCTGACCACTCACCTCCAGCTAGTGTCGAGATCAAGAAAATGTCGATCTATAGGATCTATATCGACTTCACCATACGCATTATGGCGTAGTGCTTAATTCGTTAAGCAAATGGACAGCTTTACCTTTTACCTGTCAAGAAAAGCTGTCAGTCGCAAACAGATTAAGTCAAATATTTAACTAACTATAGGCTTCTAAACTAAACATAACTGATTAGCGGAGATGAAGTCATTGCAAATAACACGGTATTAGGTTAGTTGACGGATACGCTTGTAACGTCTATAACGTCTATAACCGTCTATAACGGTCTATAACGTCTGTAAGGCCTATAATAAACGAGAATACGAATCAGCGGTCCTTACCGGTCCTTACTCAACAACCTGAACAACATGCGTGTGCGACGCTAGTGTCCGGCTCGTGTCTGTTTTCCTCATGTCATTTTTGTGGAGAGAAGGAAATGGCAAATGTGTATCCTGTTTTTCGGAGGTAGAATACTCTAAAAATTCGATGTTAGGTTGAAGTGTTTTTTATGGAAGCGTTGAATGATGTCTTTATTTTTAGGAGCGGAGATGAGGATCGAATTTTTGGACAGTGAATACACCAGATTTGTCAAGTTTACCTTGTTTGTTGGAGTTGTTGGCTAAGTTCGTTGAGAGTTATCTCAATCATTATTTGACATAACCTATTCGGTGTACAGTGTGTTTTGAGATATGAAAAAGATTATAAACTTGGTGACTGTTGTGCAGGTTGCCATGTCATTATAGAATTTTGTTGTTTGTTTAATATGCATTAAATCATTCTACAAACTAATTAATTTCATAGAATGGAAGATGATTCAGGTAAAGAGTGGATTTTATGTCCATCTTGCACGTGATTAAAGTAATGACTTTTTAGGTAAACTGTATGAGATTCTCAGAACTCCCCATCTACCACAGCTGCTAATTATGACAGTGACAATTTTTTATGTTTTTTCTGTAATAGTTTTGTGGGATGTCATTGCATGTGTACAGGCGTGATTTATGGACTTGTGTCATTACACTAATTTGTCATATTTCAGTATGTGAGTATGTGAATGCATGTAAGAAATTCCCTGTTATGAGATCTGAATGTTCATCTCTGCCATATGACTTCTTATTCCTATGCCATTTCATCCCTTATTACATGCAAAATTTTAAATCAGTTATGACATTTAATGTACATGGTAGCCATTTTGTGAGGCTGTATAGTGTTTAAATTTTTTCAGGTAATTTTTCGATGACTTAGAACTTAATAATTCTTATATCAATGTTTGTTTTATTTCCAAGATGTCTTCTCCATCATCGCACACAGGCATATCTTGGTGCTGTAGGACATGGCTACTGCAGAGAATTTAAACATGATTCAACTCATCAGACTGAAGGAAATGGACAGAAAAGAAGATACTTGATGTACACTGCTGTTATCACAACTACAACGCTTGCTTCCATTTGCATCAACCATTATGTAGAAGGTATTTAACATCAACATAATATATCAGCATGGCCTGCAGAGGCCTGAATGCCACACGCTAAAAAAAAAATCTTTCTTTGTCACAGTTAATAATACAGAACTTCCAGACATTGTGATGAAAATTGTCATAATTCTGGAAACAGTTTATTTACATTGTTGAATATTATATTGTCATGTGTCTGGGGTTATATGACAAATAATCACCAGTTCTGGATAGGATGATTGGATTTGTTAACACCTTCATTTACAATCTCTCTTAGTCACAATCAGTTATAATGCTATTGCTAATTTACCCACTTCACAAATCATCAAAGTATGCTATCCATTTCCTGGCAATGGATTTATCACAGTAACTGTCACCTCAAATCAATATGAAGTCTTCTTGCCATTTCTTGTTCAGTCACCCTCCAGAACTTGACCCAGTTCTCAAATTCTAATTCCCTAGCTCAAATCAAAGTCAAAGTCACATTGCGGCTTATGGTCACTCAATCAATAAGTCTTGGTGTTGAGCCCTCTCTGGAACCAGATATTTATTACTATTTGACAGTTATGATCTTGTTTTTGTGGGGCACCCTCTCTGACGAGAGGATGGGTCTGTCTTTTGTATATGCTGCTGGCCTTTGCCAGCGCAGTCTTTCTTGGGTCCAAGCCCCTTGTAATTTAGGACCATATTTTACTGTCTCAGATCTGAGACTTCCCTTTTCAATGCCTCCTATAACTCACAGGGTCACGGTGGAGGTATTCGACCCTGCCTCCAAACAGGGGTAATTCTAATTCTTTAGTCCAAGTCCAAGTCACATGGTGACTGACAGTCAGTCAGTCTGTCTGTCTTGGTGTCGAGCCCTGGCTGGGGCTCATGACCAGATCCTCCCTCCCCCTTATATGAAAGTAACTGTCCTGTCCATTTGGTGCGTCCTCTCTGACGAGAGGTCGGTTCTGTCATTTGTCATTCATAGTCCATATTAGTAAGTCCATTGTCAGTATTTACATATATTTACAAATTTAATCTTAATTCCTATTAGCTACAGATACTTTTTATACAGCCATGGCACAGACCACATAGAGAACACCCTTCTTCTATTAAGGATGCATGTTTACAGCTCCATTGCCTAGCACTGGCCATGGCACGGACCACATAGAAAACACCTCTTCTCTTGTCAGAATGTTGTGTAACCTAGCTACTAGTTGTAGCATGGTCCACAGAGAACACAGCTCCTATTATTGCGTTTTCGCTGGAACATGTATACTGAGTCATTGGCTAGCAGTCGTCATATTTGTCTCAGTATTTTTATTACTGACACTCAAATAAGCAGACAGTGAATTATTATTCTCTTTCACCATTAAATTCAGGTTTTAAAAATTAAAGGATGTGACATCACAAATATTTTCCATTATCTAAAGTCATAAGATTATGTGGCGATAAGTCTTGTAAATACTTAATACAGTAAAACCAGTCTTAAACAGAATCTCAAGGGTCCAGAACATTATTCTGCTGAAGCCAGGTTTCCGTTTAATCAAGGTATACTATAATTAAACCTGGACATGCATGTATTTGAGACAAAATAAAACACCATACTCGTTAATTAATTCACACTATAATCATTGAACACGTGCAAACATTACACTGAACAGAAAAAAATCGCAGTACTCACTTTTTATAATTTTACCAGAACTCAGGCAGAGTTTCTTGCACACAGTTTACTCTCTTGGCTGCCTGACTTTCCTCAAACACTTTAGTTTGAGAAATTACATTGTACTGCAAATCCGTGCAGTTGCTTTAAACTTTTGACAGCATCTTGATAAGTCTTTACTCTATACTTTTCTTCTTCTCTCACAATGTCATTTTCCTCTTCTTCCTCCTACTCCTCCTCCTCCTCTCTTCCTTTCCGACTTTCTCTAAAATTCTGAACTAATGCATCGATATCCATTGTGTCTGGTTCTGTTTGCACATCTTTGTCTATGTTGATGTAGTCCTCATCTTTGCAATTACTGAAAGCAGCTTCATTCATGCAATTTTATAAGTCCTGCTGGTCATTCTCATTTTCTACACTAGCAGCAACTTCACCTGTAGAAAATCTTGAGTTTTCAGAACACACTATTTCATTAATGTCTTCATTTGCAGTTTTCTTAAGTTCTTTTTTTATTTCTCCATTAGCGCAATTTTCCCACTGCTTCAAAATTTGAAGCTGAAGTTGAAGTTGCTGTTGCAAAGTTGAAAAGGTATTGATCAAACTCCAACAAGTGATTCAAACAGGACATGAAACATTACATTCAGAGAGCCATAAACTGTAGTTCTATTTGTAATAAGGAAGAATTACCTGAGCTGTGGAAAGAGTCTATTATTATACTGATTTACAAGAAGAGTGATAAAAGTGACTAGAAATTATCAAGGCATATCACTGTAATCAATTTCATACAAAATTTTATCTGACATCCTTCTCTTGAGGTTAGATCCATACATACACAAAATTATTGGGGATCGTCAGGGTTTGTTTTGACATAATAAATCAATTACTGATCAGATTTTTGAGTACAATGAGACAGTGCACCAGCTATTCATAGACTTCAAGAACATCTATAATTCAGTTAGGAAGGAAATATTGTGCAGTATTCTCATGGAGTTTGGGATACCTATGAAACTAGGCTGATTAAAATGTGTTTAATGAAATGTGTAGTAAAGTCCATATAGGAAAACATTTGTTTGATAATTTTCCTATCCAGAATGGTTTGAAACAAGGAGATGCTTTAACATCACTGATTTTAAACTCTGCATTAGAATATGTCATTAGGAAGGTCCAAGAAAACCAGGTGGAATTGAAATTGAATGGGACACATCAGCTTTCTGATCTGTGCTGATGATGTGGATCTACTGCGGGATAACATAAATACGTAAAGAAACACACACACACTCTGATAGATGCAATAAGGAGGTTGGTCTGGAAGGAGGCGCAGAGTAAACTAGATATGTGTTGATGTCTCACCACCAAAATGCAGGACAGAATCGTAATGTTTTTTTTTTTTGTTGAAATTGCAGGAACAATGGTAAACCAATTAAATGATCAAAAACCTAAGTATGAACAAGCATGTAAAGTTACTCCATTTTCTAAA